TCAAATCTTTTTTTTTTAAAAAAAATATCTTTATTGATTTCAGAGAGAGGAAAGGAGAGGGAGAGAGAGAGATAGAACCATCAATGATGAGAGAGTCATTGATTGAGCCCACAACCCGGGCATGTGCCCTGACCAGGAATCGAACCCCAATCGCCTGGATCCTAGGTTGATGCTCAACCGCTGAGCCATGCCCTGCCAGGCTCAAATCTTTTTTTTTTAAAAAAAATATCTTTATTGATTTCAGAGAGAGGAAGGGAGAAGAGAGAGAGAGAAACATCAATGATGAGAATCACTGATCGGCTGCCTCCTGCAAGCCCCCAACTGGTGATGGAGCCCACAACCTGGGCATGTGCCCTGACCAGGAATCAAACCATGATCTCCTGGATCCTAGGTTGATGCTCAACCGCTGAGCCACGCCCTGTTGGGCATTTGTTACGTAATTTATCATGAAAATATTTTTTCCCAGTCTGTGGTTTATCCTTTCACCTTTGCATTATACTTTTATATCTATTATTTTGCTTCTTTTAGCCTTTCAACAAATATTTATAAAGAACCTGCTGTGTGCCAGACCCTGCCCTAGGTACTAAAAACACAAACGGTAACACAACAGACGGGTCCCCCTGTTTTAGGGACCTCCCATGCTTGATATTATTCAATAGACACTGGAAAACACTAAGTTAACCTGTTGGATATTCTGTTTGTCCCCCAATTCATTTTCCCTTTTTCCATGTCCTGCTCTGTGTCCCAGGAGGTTGACCATGTGGACTTTATCAGCCAGGCTCTGCCCCAAGTGGCTTCCAGCTGGGTTGGCCAATGAGAGGCCCTGGCAGATGACTGGACAACAATGGACAGAGAGAGCTGGGTATTCACTGCTCATATTCTTGCTGTTTTGGCACTGGGTTTCTGGTCATGGCTTCCCCTGGGTTTCAGGATCATTGTTCCCTTTCTTGACCCTTCAGGCCTAGGAATGGTGACAGCACCTCTCCAATGCAGTTGCAGACTAGGAAGTGACACCGTGGTGGTCACAGAGCCTGGGGCATAGAGACTTCTTTGATCACACAGCTTGTGGTGTAAAAACCCTGGAAGTCACATAGCCAAGGGTGTACCACTCTGGGGACACACAGACTGGGTGGTAGCCACTCTTGTCACACAGAAAGTTGATCATCGTGGGGTTATGCAGACAGATTATTGTGTGGACACGTCTAGAAACAAGGTTGGCTGTGGGCCCTCCTGCAGTTACGTAGAGTGGGGTGTGGCCACCCCTGGCATTTTACAGTCTGAGGAATGCTCACTCTTTTTTTTTTTTTTT